GCTACTGCATCCTGGATCTGGGTCCTGCACAAGTTGGTGCGGGTGGATCTGGGCCTCTGGGCTTGACCTCTCTCTGTAGTCTGTTGGTCAGAAGGGGCAGTCTTGTGCCAGAGGCTAGGCTCTGGCTGGTATCTGCCCTGCTGGGGAGTGTACTGGGCCTCCTGTGAGCCTGGGACCCACACAGGCTACAGGTATGGGTGGATCTCTAATTTCATTCCATTTTGAGCTGATAGAATGCAAGGTATTATCTCTATTTTTTTGTATGCTAAGAGTTGCTTTGAGGACTAAGATGTAGACTAACATTCACAGAATGTTCCATTTGCTGCTGAAAAGAAAGTGTATTCATTCATTGATGGATGAAATATTCTATATAAGTCTGTAAAGTCTAAATTATTAATTTTACTTTTTAATTCTATAGCTTTTTTTTGTTTAGTTTTTGATCTAAAGATCTATCATTTGGTGAGTGAGGCATGTTGAGGTCACCCAGTATTATTGTATTCTGATCTATTTGATTCTTGAGATTGTGAAGGATTGTTTGATGTATGTAGATGCTCTATTGTTTGGGGCATAAATATTTAAGATTATTATATCTTGTCGATGTATAGTTCTCTTAAGTGTGAAATGGCCTTGTTTGTCCCTTCTGATAATTTTGACTTGAAGTCCACTTTATCAGATATGAGGATAGAAACCCATGTGGATGATATGTTTTCCTCCATTCTTTTACAATGTCTGTGGATGTCTTTGCCTATGAGGTGAGTCTCTTGCAGAGAGCATATGGTTGGGGCTTACTTTTTAATCAAGTCTGCTGGTCTGTCTTTTGTTTGTTGAGTTTAGGCCATTTACATTGAATGTTATTATTGAGAAATGATTCTTATTCCCTGTCATGTTGAATTATTTCTGATTTTTAATTTGAATTACCTTCTTTTTTGATTGACTATTCTTCTAGTGTAGTCCCTACCTTTGCTGGATTTCATTTATATTTTTTATTTCTTTTTCATGAAATAGTTTGTTGAGAATGTTCTGTAGGACAGGTTTTTTAGTTTTAACTTTTGTTTATCATGAAAGTTTTTTTTTATTTCATCATCAGATCTGAGTCTTGGTTTTACAGGGTATAGTATTCTTAGTTGTTATCCATTTTCTTTCAGAGCTTGCTATACATTATTATAAAACTTCCTAGTTTTAAGGGTCTGGGTTGAAAAATCAACTGAGATCTGACTTGGTATCCCTCTAAATGTTACTTGACTTTTTATCTCTGGAAGCCTTAAGAATTCTGTCCTTATGCTATATGTTAGGCATCTTCATCATAATGTGACTTGGTGTAGGTCTGTTGTAATTTTGTATATTTGGGGTCCTAGAGACTTCCTGTATTTAATTTTCCATTTCATTCTTAAGGTTTGGAAAATTTTCAGACAGTATTTCACTGAAATGATTATGCTTTCCTTTGGTTTGTATCTCCAAGCCTTTATCTATCTTAATAAATCTTAAGTTTGGTCTTTTCATGTTATTCCATATTTCTTGGAAGTTCTGTTCATGCTTTCTTACTGTCTTTTCTCCAGGCTCAACTTCATTTTCAAGATTATATATTTTGTCTCTGTCTTGTAAGTGGTCTAGTCTGCTGGCCATAGTTTCCAATGAATTTTTTATTTGATTTATTGATTCCTTCATTTTGAGGGTTTCTGTTTTTTTTTCCCCCAGAGTATCTTTCTCTTTATTGAAAAGATCTTTTTCTTCCTTTATTTGCTCCCTTATATCATCCTTTACCTTGTAGATCAGTTTAACTATGAACATTCTAAACTCCTTCTCTGACATTTCTTTCATTGTAGTGTTGATAGATTGTATTTTTGATGTATTTGGTTTGTTTGAGGCAATTTGTTATCTAACTTTTTCATGTTGTTTGTATGTCTACCCATCTAGTAGTTGATTTCTGAGGCAGAAGGGTTTCTACATTGCCACACGTATTTCTTATCTCATAGTTTCCATTGGTCTGGGGTCTGATCGTGACCTGGCTGGGTTCTCTGATTCAGTTTGTGACCCAGTTGTCAATCAAAGTGTTGACTGGGCTCCACTCATATTGGGAGACTTCACTTGGAATAATCCATTTTCAAGCTCATTCAGGTTGTTGACAGAGTCATTTTGTTGTGGCAGCAGAACTCCAGAGCCTTCTGCTTCCAGTGCAGCAGCAGAGCCTCTGGCTCCATTCAGTCACGACAGAGTCCTCTGTGTGGTAACATGTAATCACCTTTGCCTTATCCTGTTGGCTGGAAATGTCACAATATCTGCTGACACTCAAGGAGTAGGAACTTCTGGTTACTAGGAACTGGATTATTGGTGGTTACCCTAAGGTCTGTCCATCACAAAGAACCAGAAGGAATTTTTGTTTGGGCATAGAGAGACAAAGAAAGGAACAGCTAAAAAGTTGGAGTTGCCATTAAATTAGGTAAGACCAAAGGAGGAAAGATGGAGCGTTTGATTTTGGCTACATAAGGATTGAGATAACTGTTACATGCCTACATGGAGATATTAAGGAGAGTTGCATATGGGTTATGAGAGCCTTAACCTAATTAGTGCATTAATCCATTCATATGGATTAACTGGGCAGTTAGAGCATTGCTGGAAGAGGTAGGTCACTGGGATTGTGCCTTTATCCCTGGTGAACAGAAAGTTCTTTATTTCCTGGCTATGCTAGAGCTACTTTCCTCTGCCATGTCCTCTGTCTCATCCTCTGCCTCATCACAGGTCCAGAGCTATGGAGGTGGCCAACCGTGGACTGAGATCTCTGAAACCATGAGCCCCAAATAAACTTTTCCTACTCTAATTGTTCTTGTCAGGTCTTTTGGTCACACTCATGAAAAAATGAACTAAAACAAACTTTAAAGTTGTACTTAAAGACAAGAAATGAGATCAAGAGGAGTGAGGGTAGACAGAAAGCCAGTCCAAGCACTGGTCCATCTCCAATATTAAAAAGTCAGGCAGTATAGGAAGAGCCAGTGAAGGACACTGAGATAAGCATGCAGGAGAGGGTGGGGCCCTTGCTGTTTTTATGTGTTGATTTAACCAGTTCAAATCTCAGAAAGCAGTTTCCTTGTTCATCTCCCTGTTTGGAAGACACCTACCTGCTCAGTTACCTAAGAGTCTCTAAATGTATTGCTTTTCAGTATGGACTTAGATGCCATATGTAAATGGGAAAAAAGATTGTATTTTGTGGAAGTTCAAAGACCAAATTTGCATTTTTGCATAAATAAGCCAGACAAATTTAGGCTAACTCTGGGCAACAGGATCAGTGGGAGTATGTGAACAGTTTTATTTTAGGACCAACACCATAAAAATCAAGCTAATCTGTAAGCATACTTGTTCTTCAGTGACACAGGTCAGGTGCTTCCTCCAAAGTGAAAGGTTTCAAACAGTGGCACCATAAGCTGTCTTCCCCTGATGTATTCATAAATGTAGTTAATAGAGGCATTTTTAAAATTAGCACAAACACATTTATTCATCAACCAAAGAGATGCTTGTAATTAAACTAGCACTTTGAAATAGTTGCAAGTAAAATGCTTGCAATAAAGATAATGAACAAAAAAAAAAGCAGCAAATAGAGATTGCTCATTGAACTGAGCTTGTTCTGATTCAAAGTGATGATGGGATTTTATTCTACTTTTTCATAGTCTTGAGTACAAGAGATATTGTTCATGATGCATCCTACCACTCGTTTTCCATCTTCCAATTTTTGGGCTTCTGTGCTTGCCTTCCCCTCTCATTCCTGATGTTGAACCAATATGCTGTTTGGAAAGTTGTCAGCAGCCTGAGAAGTGTGTTCACACTTCTCTCCCAGGTTATAAGAAAACTCTGCTTCTGAAGTGCTCTTGGTTTTTGTGGTGAGGTATTTATTACCACATGAGGCAACACCATCTGTTTAGCCACTAAACCCATTTTTGGAAGAGCATTTCCCACTCCTACTCCCTCACGTGCTCAACAATGCCTCTGCTCTTTAGCAGGCACCATTTTCCTACCAGCTACAAGATGGTGGCCATGGTGGGCACAACTGGGTGTGCAGAGCAGGTGGCACAGGGTATGGCTTGAGGGGGGGGGGGTGCCAGAGGCATTTGTGTACACCCTCTAGCAAAATTTATTTCAGTATCTACTGGTTATATAGAGAATTTATGAAAATCATTAAACTGTTAACTTTTTTATGGGCATGAGAATCCACCACTGGTTCACTTAAGTATAGTCTGAATTTAAGGAGATACTCTGATACATTTTACTTTGGATAAAACCTTTCCAATTCTTTAGAATAGAGAAATAATCATGAAATTCTAAGTGAGGGAAGTAGAAACAGACTCCAGTAGTGCAAATTGAGTACATTATAAGTAGTATTGTAGATGATATAAATACAATGTACACACACCCATATCATTAACTCTGTATATTGAAACTATGCCACTCAATTCATGGTCCTCATTACACATACACAAAAAGTTGAATGCTCACTTAGGAAAAAAAAATTTTTCTCCAGTTTCTCATCAAGTGTCTCTTAGGTGTCTTCATTGCTAGACAGTCAATGCAACAAATAGTGAAGCTTATTTCTTAGTTGGGCTGTGTTGATTCAGAGTTAATTATGTTTTCAAGCAGCGTGCAAATAATCCCATCAGCTTGCACACAAATTTTATTGTAGTTCCCATTTAACTAACGAGGAAATGGAAGCGAAGAGTTCAGTCCCTTTCTCTGAACTCAAAGGATGATAGGGAGGCCGCCTGTCTACTGTTGGACCACACAGGTGACATCTCAGTTGGGGTCTGTTGCATCCGGAAGCAACAGCTACAAGCCAGGTAATGAAATGTCTGTCTTGCCTTTCAGATGGGCCTGAAGGTCAAGTTAGTTTATTTGTTTTTTAATTAAGCTGAAATTATAGGCTGGATGAAAGATCCCTCTGTGAGTGGTGATCCTTTGAGTAGCTGTACGAATTTTTCTGTCTCTCGCTTTCTTCTAACCCCTTCTTCTGTTTGCAGGATTAGTAAAGCACTTGGGAGGCACTTTAATCTTGCTGGCGTTGTCAGGAGTGATCAGCAAGTTTTATTAAAAGTCCCTGGATTGGCTGAAAGGCGTCCTTGTGTAAGTCTGGAATGAAAGGGGCATGTTAAGATCTCGGGGCACACTGTCAGGACCCCTCGCCCTGCCCCTTGGACTGTGACCTGAGCTGTGGGAGGAAGTGCAGAAGCCCTCCTCTGTTGAAGAAATTTTGTGATGGCCAGAAGCGAGTGGGCCCCTGTCAGCATGAGCTCTCTAGGTTGGGGTGGCCTCAGTGTCCTCCTGCTTCTGCTGCTCCTGGACCGGGCCAGCCCTACCTTCATCAGCCTGAACCATGGGATGAGGGTGATGAAGGGCAGCTCTGCCTTCCTGTCAGAAGATGACCTGAAGTTTGCCATCCCCAAAGGAGAGAAAGATGCCTGCAAAGTGGAAGTTGTGATGAATGAGCCAATAACCCAGAGGGTAGGGAAACTCATGCCACAGGTGGGTCATGTCTGAGATTCTCTGTTCAGTAGCATGGATGAATTTTAGTGTACAAGAGTATGTGAGGCAGGTCAAAGGTCTCCTGTCTAGCCATCAAAGTTGAGTACTGTGAAGAAGTTCACATTTGAAATGGTGGGGTTGAAGTTCACAGGCAGAGTATTGCACTGTTTTTCTATGTGAGGTGGAAGCTGTTTTTTAATGTCCTTGACTGATTCTAGCTAAGTCTACCACTGACAGGGTTTACTCTTAATTATGCTAACACCTGTGGAGGAGGTCAGGCTCAAAGTAATATGGATGCTTGCATTTTTTCTTAATAATGCACTGTATCAACAAGGCTTTCCAATTTCTCCTCTTGTATTGAAGAGAACTGCTTGATCTTATAGAGTAGTTAATCATCCAGGGAAAAGCATAATGTAAAAGAAGTACAGATATGCATTTTAGTATATTGCCAATCTATGAGAGAGAGAGAGAGAGAGAGAGAGAGAGAGAGAGAGAGAGAGAGAGAGAGAGAGAGAGAATGAATATGAATATGGGGCAGCCTTTAAGGGTTGGAGTGGGCAGTCACTTGCAGTGTGTGCTATGGAAGATTCTTATGGAATTCTTCCTGCCCCAAATTACCTCCCCCATTGCCAGTAGTCAGGGTGTCTTTTGATAAGAAATTAAGGTCTCAAGAACATTTTAGGACATACTTGTGACCTCAGAATACTAAGGGTAAAACTTGAGTAAGGGAAGAGAAGTAGAAAAGAGATCTGGAGAACTAAATATTCATTTTATCAAAATGTCTGTATAAATGTTTCCCCCTTTAATCAAAAGGAGACCTTTTTATTTAAGGGTATTCTATGGTCACTTCTTAGGATTGGGGTGTGTGTGTGGGGACAGAACCCAAGAGTGCTTTACCACTGAGCCGTATCCTCCAGTCATTTAACTTGTATTTTTAATGTATTTTTTGAGATAGAATCTTGCTAAGTTGCTGAGGCTGGCCTTGAACTTGTGATCCTCCTGCCTCAGGCCTTCTTAGTCACTGGGATTTCAGGTGTTTACCACCATACCTGGCTCTATAGTCACTTCTTTTGTAGAGTGAAGAATTCCCTTCTAAACTTTTATTTTCCTATATTGTCTTTGCTTAAAGCAGAAGTTGACCCCTCTACTTAATATAAAATGACCTTTGATTTTATCATGTTTTCCTGCTGTGACTTAACTTTCTCCCAATATAAACAATCTTGAGAATATACTGCTGCTGCTTTTGGAAAAATGCACAAATTCCAATTGCTGAACCATGAACACAATTTCCTCTTTGTTTGGCTTTAGAAATGTGTTCATGAAGTGATTCAAACAGTACTAGATATTGTAGAGATGGAATAAAGAGGCTTAAATAGAGGCTAGCTCCAATGATTATCTCTAGGTATTTCATTTACCATACTTAAATTTATAGACCAATTCTGAAATATGTGAATTCTATGGAAGAGAGTCTCACAATGGAGGTATACAGTAACTAAATGTCTAAACTAGATGTGACAGTAACTAAATGTCTCCCACCAGATTTTCTTTTGTCAGTCAAAGACCTTTGGGTAGGATCTTAAACATAGGATACAATCATTTCCATAAGTATGGAGACGTTGTATTCCCTAGTGTTTGGTAGCCCCAATTTCTCCCTGTATTACATAGCAGTAGTCAATGCAGAGCAACTGCAGGGATTGGGGTCAAAAGCCAAGTGAAGAATTAGGAGCAGCAAGATGGCACCTTGGTCCTAGTGGCTTGGAGTCCTTGATAAGGCATGGACCCAGTGCAGTACTAATACAAATATGGACACCTTATAAAGATGATCAATTGTTAATTTGATACCCTTTCCAATAAATATAGTTTTTAAAAAGGGTCCAACACTTAGAAATGATGTTATTTTTGGGGAGAGAGAAGTAAATTCCTATTGAGAGCCAGCAGGAGCAAGCTGTCCAAGCTGTTGTCCCATGCAAACAGGACAAAGCCCTGTCATTCACCAGTTTCTCCTCCTTGAAGGCAATTTGGAAAGAATCTGTTACTACCTAGCAGCCTCTGAGGTCAGTCCTCTTCCCACCCCAGATAACCTAAGACTCCTTAACGCTGTGGCACTCTCTCTGAGAATAACGAAGTCACCTCTGAGATAGTGAGTTTTAATGGTTCTGCTTCTTTGGTGCTGAGACACAGGGGAGCAGAAAGGGATCCAGGTGATGAGAACCAGATAAAAATCCTATGTGGTCACAAGAATGAAGGGTTGGAGTAGACCTCTGAGTCATCTCTTTCAGATTTAGGGCAAAACTCTGGTTACTAGATAGATAATCTGGAAAAGAAATAACAAAATGCCTGGCTGATTTAGGAAATTCTTGACTGCTTGGAAATATCCCAAACCACATTGATCCTTTTGTTTCTGTTCTCATTTTTAAAAAGTATTATTGAGGGCTGGGGTGTGGCTCAGTGGTAAAGCGCTTGCCTAGCATGTGTGAGGCCCTGGGTTTGATTCTCAGCACTGCATATAAAGAAATAAAATAAAAGTCCATTGATAACTTAAAAAAAAAGAAAAGTATTATTGATCCCTTAGTGTGCTATTGCTCATGTTAAAAAAGTATTATTAAGTTCTGAATCTTCAGTGTGTGCATTTCTAGAAGTAAATATGATATCTCAAGCTGATTTACATAATCTAAAGTAGATATGTGGTTTTTATCTTCCAAAATTGATTCTATGATACCAGTAAATCAGGAAGCTAAGGCAGGAAGATCACAAGTTCAAGGCCAGCCTCAGCAACCTACTGAAACCCTAAGCAACTCAGTGAGACTATGTCTCAAAATAAAAAATAAAAAAAGGGCTGAGATGAAATGCCCCTGGGTTAAATCCCTAGTACAAAAAAATTATTCTATTGTATAGGAGTCCATTAAAATGTGGAGTCTCATCTCCAGTTTACCAAATAGCAGAACTTTGTGCCATAGAAAATTTTATATAGTGAGGAAACAGTTTCTCCAACCATCTATTTTTTAAATTTCTGATAATTTCTATAAAAAACTAGATACTCATGTAAAGTCTGAGTTGAAGGGAATTTGTGCTTGGTTTTTAACCCCAGCTGGTTCAGCCCTCTCCAGGGATTTATTCCTTATAGAGTTCTTGAAATTAAGCATAGCCAAGTTCACACACACACACAGACACACACACACACACACATACACAGCCTAAATATTATTCATATATAAATATAATATATATAATATATATTTACAAACACTGTTTTTTATAACTTTATTGTGCTTTATTTTTTATGTGGTACTGAGTATCGAACTCAGTGCCTCACACATGCGAGGCAAGTGCTCTACCACTGAACCACAACCCCAGCCCTAAACATTATTCTTTAATAGAGCTTAATATTAAGCTTAAAGCTAGGCTTATGTGAACCCATTTCTAGCAAGATGACTGTATTAACAACACCCTGCTGTGTAATGAACAGTTTCATGTGATTTGCACAGAAAATGTTTTGCTTAACATCTGTTCAATTAGTGTTTTCATTTCATTACTGAAGTTTGTCTTAGAACCAACAGGTTCATTTTCCTACTAGATATTTGGAAAGGGACTTCAGTGGGTGCATGCCAGTGCCTTCTGTTGAGATCACCCCCTTGATAGAGTCAATTAGACAAGGTCGATGGCCATGTGTCGTACTCCTGTTTTAGGACAAGACAGCCTCACTTAGCAGTTCTGACACCTGACCCAGAGCAAGAAATTTCCTGGGTGGAAAAGCACCTCAGTTTAGCGCTGAGCTTGCTTTTTTTTGAATGGGAAATAAAGCAGTAAGAAAATATCTCTAGTTTGAACTAGTTTACTGTCGTTAAAGTGAGTAATGAGTTAGGAATGTGTGACAATTTAATTATAAATTGTAATTGAAAAGCAGTTGAAGTGGAAAAAAACAAAGCTAGACAGTAATTAGAAAAGGATTTAGCTCTCCTTTGTTTTAGTTAGTAAATTTATGGACAATTATGGTTGTCGCCTTTTATAAAAGGAAAACATATTACGAAACATTAAACAGATGTTTCTTTTAGCAAAGCAGATTGTCTCTTTATTACCACGACTATTTGTCAATGGGGTGGGGAAGGGCTTCTCTTTATCTCCTTCCTAGTTATCAAATGAAGAGGAGAGCCAGTGATATCTGTAAGACAAGAAAGTCATTTGTATTGGTAATAACATCTTCTCAGGGTGGATTCTGTTGTCTGAAAATGGTTGAGACTGAAAAAGGTAAAGACTAGACACCATCAGTTCCATAGGGAGGATGTGTAAATACCTCAGGGGTATTTCTCAGCCTTCTACCAACTCAGATTGGGCAGAATGAAGGTCATGCTGAGTCTGAAAGAGAAGACTTTTCTTTCAAAACTAGGATTCCCCCCAAACCAGCCATTTCCTTAATCATTTTGAATGAGGTGGTGCAGTTAATTATCTTTATTTGAATAGAAGTTGCCTTTAGAATTCTATGTCTCATCATCCATTTCTGCTATTATATAACTAATAAAAGCTGTCTTTTGCAAGTATATAAGAAACAATTATGGTTCATATTTGACTCTGATCAACAACAATAGCACCCCCTCTCCCCACAGTGGCTTCTTCTTTGAATGTAAAAATGCTATTTGGAAAAGAAAGAAAAAACAGGAGAACACATGTATACAGAACAAATACAGTTTGTTGGTGGGTGGGTTAATGCTTGCCTTTTCATACAGACACACAGAAAGATCCCTTTAACCCAACTGCTAGAAACCCCTGAAGGGAGTAAATAGGAGTTTTGATAAATGGAACCATATTTTAAAAGTCTGCAAAAAGGTAGCCATTTAGGCAGTAATTACCCCTAATTTACTTGTTTGATCTGCTTGGATTTTAATAATTTAGATATTTACTGAACAAGACTCAGCTGTACGGTGAGTGGGCATGGGGTAGGATACAGGTGGTAGTTAATACGTGCAAGCGTGAGCACAAACACACACACGTGTGCATACCACTCACAGGCCATAATTTTTCCAGGAGGTACTTGAGATCTGGAAAAATAAAACTTTGTACCAATTTTCTCATGTATATTTATCCATTTTTCATGTGAACTAGGTCTTTGACTGCCATTTCCTTCCCAATGAAGTCAGGTATGTTCACAACGGTTGCCCGATTCTTGATGAAGACACAGTGAAGCTTCGACTTTACAGGTGAGTGGACTAGGAGCTCTGATTATGTGTTGTCAGACAACAATTCTGTTTACTTAGGGTTTTTTCTGTCGCTATATATTATTATGAGGGGAGTTAATAGATTCCAAACAAGAAAGTAATCAATAGAAATTGGAGGCCTGAGTGGTAAGGCAAGAATTGTGGCCAATTTTCAATCATCTTCATTTGAATTATTGTCTTGGGGCTTTTTTACAAATTACTAACTCCATCCTGTTTCTATTTAGTGTTCTTATGCAAGTATCTCTGGTATCCCAACCTATAATCTATAGTAAGAAAAAAAAGTTACAAATAGCAAATTCTTCATGGGAATCAATTAGGAAATATGCTCCAAAATTGAATGAATTTTTTTTTAATAACTAGCTGTTCAGTTACAGGAAATACAATATCTTCCACTTTTAAACATTAAATAATTCAAATGTGCTTAAAATCAATTACAAAGCTAAACATAGAGTGATCATATGACCCAGTAATTTCCCTTCTAGGTATATACACAAGAGAAATGAAAGCCTATGTTTGTACAAACACTTGTACAGGGATGTTCATGACAGCATTATTCATAACAGCCAAAAAGTTGTACCAATTCAACTGACAATGGTATACCCATATAATAGAATATTATTCAGACATGAAAAGGAATGAAGCGTGGATTCATGGGACAACTTGGCTGATCTTTGAAAACATTATGCTAAGTGAAAGAATTCAGACACAAAAGGACAAATATTGTATGGTTTCATTTATATGAAATGTCCAAAGTAGGCAAATCCATAGGAACAATAGATTAGTGGTTGCCAGAGGCTGGGTTAGGGGCCATTGGGGCGTGACTACATGGGTATAGATGTCTTTTTGGGGTGATGAAAGTATTATGGAATTAGATAGTTAAGATATTTATATAACTTTTGTGAATATATTAAAAACTATTGAGTTGTACCCTTTAAAAGAATTAATTTCATGATATGTGAATTATATAAAAAATTAATTTTAAGGTTATAGTTATGGTATTTCAGACTTCATAGAAGCAAGTGAGGACAGGGTAGGTGGAGTAGGACTTTATATAATTGTTTACTTGTCTTTTTTTGTTCTTGAGAGTATTTGATTAAAACAGGTTGGTATAAATTTATTGTAAGCACTACAACAATGCATTAGAGATTTGAAGAAGACTTTGGAACCGTGAATCATTCTACAACATTTATAACCACCCACTACAGATCAGGGGGTCCACACAGACCATAGGAAACTCAAGGATGAAGATGCACAAACTCTTGGTGCTCTTGGTTAAATGCGAAAGATGGGCAGATAATTAGAATGCAGAGCCACAAGTGCCTCGAAAAAGGCAAAATACTGTGCTCAGAAAATCAAGTGGCACCCACTTTCCTTAGAAAGCTAAAAATCATCATGCAAGGCTTTCCAAGACTTTAGTGTTAAAAGACAGACTTCAAAGATCTTGCTGGGAAGGGCTGAAAGGCTGATGAATTCTAGCTGCTCCTACTCCTTCCTTGAGTTTCCCTGGGGGAATAAGATTGGTAAAGTACACGCAGGAAGGCTGCCACTGCTTGTCGTTTGATGACATTTGAAATAGAATATCCAGCATAGTTGGGGGCAGAGATCAGGGAGCATGTTTATTTCCCTCCTCCCTCTTCTCCAGCTTCTATGGCAAGTGATTTGACTTCTTTATGCCTCAGTTTCATCATTGCAAAGTTAGATTGAAAATGCCTTCAATAGCTTCTTCTAAGTACTGAAAAAGATACCGCAGTAAGGAGTTCAGCATAGAGTTTAGTGTGTTATGGGTCGCAATAAAAGCATATCAACAAAGAGCTTAATTATTAATGTAAATACATCACTCATTAATTTCAAACTCTCAAAAAAATAAAACAAACAACAACAACAAAACCACATGACAACACATCTCTATTAGCCTCTGCAAATACCCTGAGAACAGAGTCCGCAGAGGATAGAAGTAGTGGAAGTAACCATTGCTGATACGATTTACATGGCAAGCAGACCTTGAATGTCCACCCGTTTTGTGGTATTTCTGAAGAACAAAAGGGCCTTGATACTACAGAAACTCCTTGCCCCTTCACTCCTGAATTAAAACTCAATCCATAAAGAATATAGGCCTTATACCCCTAAATTTGTTATGTTGGAGGTGAGACTCCAAGGTCTCCGCAGTCCTTACCTGTCAGTATGGATGATGAGCTTGAGAGAGGCATTGAAAGAAAAGGATTGGAGGGAGAAGCAGCAGCAGGAAAAGCATCGACACCAAAGTAAAGAGAAGGGATGAGACCTGAGAGGTTGAGAGTACAGCAGGAAATTAAATCAAAACTCCACCTGAGGCAAAAATGTGTGAAGGCCAGGTTTTAAGCTTCAAGCTAAGTGCTCAGGTATCCGAAGTGTCTGAGCACCAATACTTATTTCCTTTGCTTTGTCCTCTCTACAGATTCACTGAGACAGACACCTTCACTGAAACCTTTACCCTGCGGGTCTATCTCATGGAGCCAGACTGCAACATTATCCGCATGAGTAGCAATGTCCTGGAGGTGTCTGAATTCTACGGCCTGTCCCGAGCCATTGATAAGAACCTGCTCAGATTCGACTATGAGAGGACGGCGGGCCTGGAGTGTACCGTCAGGCTGGACCCTTTGAGAACTAGGCTGCCAGCTCATGGCCAGATGGTTGTGGTGGAGCCTCGCCCAGAAGGACCCCGTGGAGATCAGCCACACAGTTTTTTCCCTCAGACCCGTATGATAAATTTCAGTATTTATCTGGATATTACTAAAACTGACAAAAATATCCATGAATGGTCACCTTCCACTGTAACAAATAGTTCTACTTAATATAATTTTAGCATCTTGGGAAGAAAATGTAGGTTAGTGGTTAAGTGCATGGATTTTGGAATCAGAAAGATCTGGATTTGAAAACTCCTTCTGTTATTCATTTTCTGTGTTATTTTAGTTATGAATCTTCTGTCTAAGCCTCTGGGAGATGGGAAAAGATAATAGCTGCTCCATAGGGTTGAATAAGGATGGGAGTAAAGGAGATCACACACAGGATGGGCTTAACACAGTGTCCAGCTCACAGGAAGTCCTCGTTAATTGTCAATTGTTATAGTAAAAGCAATGGCAGCAACAGTAAGAGTGGTTTATTTATACTTCATTAGATATTATTGGATTGTGATCTAGCTTGAAGTAGAGCTGGTAGGTAGCCTGGTTTAAATCAGGAAGCATTAATGGATAAGGTTCCTTCCATTATTCATTCAATTAATATGTTGGATACTTCCTATATGCACAACAATGTCTTAGGAACTATGAGAAGAACAAGAAATATAAGGAATAATCCATGAATGTAGTAGTAATACTTGTAGTAATATCTTGCATTTGGACAGAAGTTTACCACTAAAGATACACTTGAACAAAAATAGTCTCATTTCCTCTTCACAACCACCTGTCTATGAAATGGAGTATCTGTTTTATGCGACATGGAAATGAAACTCAAAAAATAAGTAGCCTATGATTGTCATACACCTAACAAGTGAAAAATGCAGTTGGGTAGAGACACGAAGACTACTGGAGAGAGAATTATGGTTTTTGGTAAGACAGCACAGGTTGATTCAGGTGGTTCACTGAGTGTTTAAGGGAAGGTTTAGAAAAAAGGATTAATTAGACTGAGAAGGACATGCAGGATTGGAGTGTGTGATGAGCACTGTGGGAGAGCATTTTGGTGAGTAGAACAGTCTAGTAGAGATTGCATGTTGGAGCCATGAAGCTGATGCTCTCAAGGGAAGATGAGAGCTAAGCAGTAGGCGCTATAGTGAGCCACTGGCCTGTTAGTTAGAGATATGCAATCACCAGAAAACATGTTTTATTTTTTTCCTCTTAGTCTAACTTTGGATGGGCAAGAGAACTGGTCTCTTGTTCTTTTCACTGAAGGAAATTATAAGCTTTCAGAATAATGCTAACCCTAGGAAGGGATTGGAAGGTACATCTGAGTATTCCTGGGGTCTGTAAGAATGAATAAATGTCTAAAGGTGGGTTTTTGTTTTTACACCCGTGGTATTCAAGTGGCTAGCTTAATGCAGCATTGTTCATTTTAGAACTGGGAATGGAACTGAAGTGTCCAGGCGGAAGCTGTACCCTGGAATTGAAGAAAATAGCAAGTCTCCAAGTGAGCTGTGAGGAGTTCCTGATGATGGGGCTTCGTTATCAACACATGCAACCCCCTTCTCCCAACATTGATTATATCTCCATCCAACTGGACCTCACAGATAGCAGGAGTCAAATAGTATACAAGGTACAGTGGGGTTATGGGTTGATGACCTGGCTGACTCAGAGGAAGACAGCCAACTGCACTGAAGGGCTCATGCCACTTCCCAGGCCAGGAAGAGTTCCTGGGCCCTGGAGAGTAACACTGCCTGGCATCTCAATGCAACTTCAGCCTGTTTGTTCTGCCAGCAAGTGCTTAAAGCGATATCTTTTACGTGTAATATTAGATAATTTCTCTCTCTGGTTCTCGATCACTTAAGGCAGCTTGGAAAGGATTGGGGCTGATTACATATTAACAACCATTTTTGCTCTTTACCAGCAGTATTTCCCCCGCCCCATGCTCTAGTGCTGGGAATTGAACCTGGGGCCTTGCACATGCTAAGCGTGCACTCTACCACTGAACTGCATCCCCCAGGCCCTTCCAACACTTTTCAACCTGATGGTTTGCCCTCTCTGGCACCTTCTCTTTAATATTTCCTTTTCTCCTTCACATCAGGGGCTTCACTGTGCAAACCCACAGGCAACCAGGAGGGAGGGGAACCTCAGTCCCACTTCCATGGTTGTGACCAAGGATCTCATTTTCAGTCTTTCAGACTTCAGGACAGAGGTCTGGGTCGTCCCAGCCTGTCTCCCAAGGCTTTTTCCATCTTCCAGTCTCTTAATTTCTCTTGCCCCACCTCTTCTTGATTTCTTCACACTGAAATGACGACTGAAAGTGGAATCAACCTTTATGAAGTATCTAACATGCTTGTTACTCTACAGTCTGCTTATTTGGGAAACTGGGGGCAAGAGCACACCTGCTTAAAAAGCTCGGTTTGTGCTGGTGTAAGACCATCCAGGATGACATCTGGAAAGACTTCCGTTTTTACAATCTGCCTTCCCCTAGGATCTGTCCTAAGAGGCTCAGTGAAATAGTGAACATTATTACCCCGTGGAATTGATAATTCAAGAAGTAATAAAGACATGACAAAACAAGATCATGGAATTTTAGATTTAAGATCTGGAAAAATCACTTCCAGGTAGTCGGGTCTAATTTATTAGGAGCTTTTAAAGGATGGATTTCTGAGTCTAATATCTGAACACTGGCCCAGGTTGCCTAGGTTCAAATGTCTGCTTATCCATCCACGTGACTTTGGACTTCATGTTTCATTTCCTTCAGCTTAAAATAAGGATAGTAGTACCTCTTTCTTAGAGAAACTAGAGGATTAAAAGAGACAATAAAACCATACTTATAAATAAAACCATATTTGTGCTTGGCACAAAGCCAGACCCAGATTAAGCATATTTATGTTTTGCTAGTTTAAAAAGCCACTGAGTAAAAAGTTTAGGATAAGCCAGGTTTGGAAATAATTGGTTGAGTCTAAGTCCCTGTTTTTGGCAGTGGTGACGCAGAGAAATTATGTACCTGACCCACACATGCATGCCTGTTTTATGAATGCTGTGATCAAAACTCTAGGTCTAGATGTTTTCTGTTTGTTTTGACACAAACTCCTTTCCCATTTCAGTCTAAAAACTTAGAGACATTTTTCTTTCCAGCTGATTTTTCTCGGTCTATTGAGTTAGGGTTTTACTATATTTTTAGATCTGTTTTATTGGGAGGTTGGGAGGTTATCCTTTTGAATGACCTCCATGCTTTATTTAGCATTAACCTATTCTATAGTCAATTTGGTTTGTCACAGCAGATCCATTTCTGAAGATGAATATGCTCACGGCAGAGAATATTAAAAAACAGAACAAAGTAAGAAGAAAATAAAATGAGCTGTTTTGCTACCATTTTTACATACAGAGACATACCCAGAGGGGAGGTACACATACCAGAACTGGTTTTATGAAATTGAATTTATATCACACATGAAGTTTTGTACATTGTTCTTTTGTTATTTTTTTATGACTGTAGAGTTCATCCTCATAAAGTAACTATATGACCATTTACCCATAATTTCTTGTACATTTTTAAAGGTCTTTCTCTTTACATTTGCCTTTTGACTCATTTGAAATAAATTTTATCATATGGTGGAACACGAGGAATTATTTTTCTTCCAGTAGCCAAATTTCCTACACCATTTGTTGGACAACCACCTTGCTTCCCATTGATATTAATGATTCTTCTATTGGGTGGTAAGATATAGAGAACGCTGTTTTAAGGCTGGCTCTTTGGTTCTTTAGGTTTACCTACTTATAGTCATGCTGGTACCACATCATCCTATGTATAATCAGTCTGTCAAGCTCTTCATCATTGCTTCTCTGTAAAGCCATTTCCCCCTATTTTTAGTCCCAAATAAATAATTAAATAATTTATGTTAGTTTTTTTTTAAAGCCCTAAGGAGTTTATCAGTATTGGATTAAAACTATAAATTTGTTGAGGCAGAGTTAGAATATTATGGCATTGAGGATATTAAATCTTCTTGTCCAGAAATAAGGCATCTCACTTTATCTGGGCAAATGTTATACATTTCTATAATGTGTATAGTTTCCTTCATGGAAGTTGAGCACACAAATTAAACCCAGTCCTGGGCAGTTTATTTTTGTGAAACTGTTGTGAATAGAATTCCACCCCCATGATATCTTCTCATTGGTTATTGATGAAAAACAGGAAAGCTATTTTTTGGTATCATTTTCATTTATCTGGCTTCTTTCCTGAATTTAATTATTTAAAGTGTTTCTTTCAATTCTTTGCACTTTCAAAGACCATAATTACATCTTATCACAAATGGTGATAATTTTGGTCTTTTCTTGTAATGTTTCCTCTTCAACTCTATTCCCCACAGGTTTGACCAGAATATATTAAATATAATGTTGCTTACAAGCTTCTTTGCCTTGTATATTTTATCCATCTTAATGACCTACCTTGACTTTTTCAATGCTTCTTGCCTTAAGTTCATCTTTGTTTGGAATGAATGTGGTTATTCTGCTTTTCTCCCTTAACATGATATGTGTGGGTCATCCTTTCACTTTTGATCTTTCAGTATAACTTTCAGTTCCTTCCTATAAGGTACATTTAACTAAGCATTTTCACAGAATTTCGTAAGAATTTTCTCAAATAAGGAAATACAAACTATTTATATTTGTGGGAATAATGGATACATTGTTTCTTACTTTTCTTGATTTTATGCCTTCTTGCTAATTGAAAACATTTTTGCTTATCACCATGTACAAGGCCCTGAGTTCCATCTTCAGAACCACAGACACAAAAAATTTGTCTTGCAAAATAGGTTAAGGTCTGGGGATACAGCTCAGTTGGTAGAATGCTTGCCTCATATGCACAAAGCCCTGGGTATAATCCCCAGTACCACCCACAAACACACACACACACACACAAGTTATACTTTCTTTGCCTTTATCTTACCTGCTTATAGAAGTCCTTTATCTCATTTTATATTTTATGGCTCCTTCCTAGATATGCTGAGGGTGAATGCAGTTGATCCTTTCTCCTGGCAATTGCCCAACTCCCATGCTTTGTTTATATAATTTGCAATTTCTGTTCTAATTTATGATCGTGATACCTTATTATTTCTCATATCATCTGTCTTTTAAGTAAGCATTTTTGACATTGGTATCCATTTTAATTAACATTTAAAATAACATTTATTTAGACTTAAGACTTAATTGATCTCAGTGTATTACACTGGTTCCTTTTAAATCATGATTTACCATTTCTTGACTTTTCATACTATGCATCTTCAAATAATATTTTTCTCATGGCACATGAAGAATCTCTATATCTTAGGATGTCATTCATTTGCCCGTGTTGCCATGCAGTGGGAAGAGGAGGGGTTGTCTTTTCCTATTCTCTCTTGCAGTTCTCTCTTCTTCCAAGCTTTGCTGGCTACTTTCTGAACTTTTGGGCTGGTGCTTTTGGGGGCTGTTGGAGAGACAGGGGCCTTGTTTTCTCAGGCGCTGATGGAGTATGGTTTCATGTTCTGTGAGCCTAGCAGATGTTTCAAGCTGCTTCAGTCTCAGGAGCAAGTTCATGGTTTCTCTGAACAGCCCTGTCACAGGGGTCTCTCCTTGTAGCTCTCTTAGAGGATGCATTTCTAACCTGAATGGTCATTTGCAAATTTTCCTGCAGTCCCTAGGAGGTGATTCCTATCTCTAGCTTTATGCTGCTAGACTTTTGGCCTCTGAAGGATGCTCCCTAAAGGTCAGGGTCCAGGATAACCCCCAATCAGCCCTTTGTCCCATGTGGCTCATTTCTGGAAGCACTCATATGTCCCTTACTGCCACAAAAAATGACAGGCTGCTCCCAGCACCGCCACCATTGTTCTTCTGCTCTGGCCTCTGCCCTTGCTCAGGTATGAGCTAAGAATTTCCTTCTGTGTCCCCACCTATAGAGCACACTTACAGGCTATCTCAAGGAAACTTCTCTCCTGACACCTGAGATGAGGGATGTGCCATTGACCCATCCTTCCTGCCTTGAGGGGTGTGTGGTGTTGGGTGGGGAAAGTGAGTCCACACAGCAGAGGGCTCCTTTGTCCAAATACATCTCTGTCTCATACTTCTCTCAACATTTTGGTATTCTTATAGCAGAGGAGAGAGTCTTGGAGTCTAGAACCATTCCTAGACAATTTGCTAGGTAAATTTTGAATATGGGATCTGTCTCACACTCACTTTGAAATCTGATGTCCCTTCTATTGGAATGTCATTTGAGATTGAGCCAAGAATTCCATTTTTAACTTTGTGTTGCATATAGACTACCACTCCTAGTCCAGGCCAGTGTCCATCAGCATGACACTGGCTAATTGACCTGGTTCTGTCAACAGTGGGATCCATCACATTCTGTGACAGCCAGAATCTACTGCTGTGAGGATTCTTTCCACCCAGAGCGTGCATTGAGAATGCAGATTATATGATGTCATTGCATGGTTTCTTTAGAAAGCTCTCTTATTGTGTAGCTCCTAATTTTTTTTTTTTTTTTTTGGTACCAGGGATTGAACTCAGGGGCACTCGGCAACTGAACCACATCCCCAGCCCTATTTTGTATTTTATTTAGAGACAGGGTCTCACTGAGTTGCTTAGCGCCTCACCATTGCTGAGGCTGGCTTTGAACTCATGATCCTCCTGACTTAGACTCCGGAGATGCTGGGAATACAGGTGTGTGCCACTGCACACAGCCATAGCTCCCAATTTTTAAGATGCTTTTCTAGTTCAAGTGTTCACTTGCTACCAAACAGAGTGAGCCTCCTTCAGTTGCACAAGCACAGAGTCATAAAGACATTCTTCCTTCATCCTTCCCCCTGACCTCCTTAAAACCACGTGTCAGGAGGTGGGCAGGGTGGCCGGAGGAAGCTGGTGTGCATGCTAGACACTGCCAAGTGCTCTGCTGTGGTTATTTCATTTAATCCTCACTAGATAATTGGGAGTCTAGAATTCCCATTTATAGATGGGAGAAAAATGAGATTTGGAAGTTAGATAACTTGTCTAAAGTCACACAAATTATAAGTGCAGGAGATGGAATCGTAAGCACAGTTATTTCTGATGCCAAAATAGGTGTTCCCTTCTTAACCCTTGATGCATATTGGAGTCACTGGGGAGCTCTAAAAATACCAAATACCACTTTTCTGGTCCCCTCCTTGGAACAATTAAGTGAGAACCTTAGGAGGTGGATTCTGGCTGTCATGTGTTAAAACTCTCCAGGTGATTCCAATGTGCAGCCAGGATTGCAATCACAGCTGGATGTGTCCTTTGGGCTGTAGCTTTATTACGTATCATGCTGTTAATCCTGTGCATTATAGCTCTATTCATATGATTTCCCTCTTCCTATTTTCCTTCTCCTTCAAAAGTCAGAGAGTGCGTGGTTGCCTGTCTACATCAGAGCTGGCATTCCGAATCAGATTCCAAGGGCTGCGTTCATGGCCATGTTTATTCTGGAAGTGGATCAGTTCATCCTGACCTCTTTGACTACGTCAGTTCTGGACTGTGAAGAGGATGAGACCCCCAAACCCTTGCTGGTGTTCAACATTACGAAAGCCCCACTCCAGGGCTACATGACTCACCTGTTGGATCACACCAGACCGGTCTCCTCATTCACCTGGAAGGACCTCAGCGACATGCAGATTGCCTATCAGCCTCCTAACAGCAGCCATTCTGAGAGGAGAAATTATGAGGTAAGAAGGAAGAGAGGCAGAGTCTCCAGCCTCATTTTTATTCAATTATTCCAGAGGCCATTTCTGACTGGATGATGTAGCACATATCCGTAATCCTAGAGGCTTGGGAGGCTGAGGCAGGAGGATCTCAAGTTCAAAGCAGCCTCAGAAACTTAGTAAGGCTCTAAGCAACTTAGCAAGACTTGGTTCAAAAATAAAAACTAAAAAGGGCTGGGGATGTGGCTCAGTGGTTAAGTGGCCCTGGGTTCACTCCCTATAACCCGCGCCCCTTCCAAAAAAAAAAAAAAAAAGAGGCTAGAGGCTACTTCTGTCAATCCTCCGTTATGTTGATACATTCTTTGCCTCAGAAGAGAATCATCAGTGTAACTCAGGATGCAGACTAAATGCCAGGGGAAGCCATGCAGAGACAACCCAGAGAGACATGGTGGTGATCAGCTGAAGAGAGAGCTGGTCCCTCGGCAAGTAGCTGCAACTCAGCTCTAACTGGTTGCTGCCATGTAGAGCCACATGGGTCTCTTTTCACCATCGTTCTCATCTGTCCAGAGGAGCTGGAAATCTATAGTTTCTCATAAAAAATATCTTCACCTTTTAAATATAGAAAACATAAAAATTGTAAAAAATATTTTGCCAACAATAAAGTCTTTCTGAGGGCCACATCTCACCCAGGGCTTGCCAGTTTGAGAACTCTGGTGTCCCCCTACAGCCTTCTTGCATTATATAGACCACTGAAGTTAGAGATGAATTTGTTCATGACTTTTTTATTAATAACTTCTCTTTTTTATTAATACCTTCTCTTTTTATCTTGTTTGTAATTAACAATATTGACTCAGGGAAGGAGAAGCCATAGTCTGATCTGATAACTAATTTTGCTATCAAATACTCTCCACGAGGAAGTCCTCCTTCTATCTGATCTAAATCGCCTTTGCTGCAGGTTCAGCCTCTTTCCTCTTGTTTTGGATTCAGTGGAAGTTGAGAACAGCTGGTTACTGTCTTGCCTATGATAACACTTCACATCCTTAAAGACCCACCAGCAAGTCATTCAGACAGGATGGAAAATTTAAATAAGCAGATTGAGAAAGACTTGAGTTCAGGTTTATTAAGGAAAATGAGTGTTCCTGGGGTTACCAGACTGTCTTCCATGTAATTTAGGCATTTGCAGCATTTAGCTTCAAGGGCAATCCAAAGGCTTCAGGCTGTAAGAGCTATGCATTGCCCTTTGCTTTTATTTTCTTCCCTTTTTAATAGAGTGTGGCAGCTGCATTTTCTTTCCTTCCCTGGCCTATCATTCCTTCCCTGGTATGAAGTAATTTTTCATTATGCATCCAGTTTTACCCTGAGCTCACAAACAAAGCGCTGCCATTCCGGCTGTGTTCTATGTGTATTTTCTGGCATTATATAATGTAATCTTAGAGCAAAACCTGTCCAAATGTGGTCTTTTTCTTTCTTTCTTTTTTTTTTTTTTTTATTAGGTGGTAAATCCCAATTTTCTCAGTGGAGATTATGCATTTTTCAGGTTTGTGGGCAGAAAGCCCCGGGCCTAAGGCCCAATCTAATGTGTATTTACACCTTTCAAAAAGTCATCTCGTGTCCCTGTTGAGTTTCATTTTTAGATTGTTACTTTGGCACCTTGAATTGGTTTCTTTTGTTATTCAGTATTTGGGGATATGTTGCTACTAATTATTTTTTTTATCTTCTCAAATGGACCCCACATTCTTCAGAAATAAGTAGTGTCTCTTGTAATCCTCTGTTATAGTTCATCCTTCTTTTCAAGAATGTGGTGCTATGTAAACATAGCATGTGGCTCAAATCTTATCACATGGCTTCTACTTATTAGTTATGAACTTTATAACTCCTAAGCACAACTAAGCAAACAAAAAAATCTTGTTACTTAAATGTTTTTCTTAATGGTGGGTGCACTTTTTTTTCTGGGTACCAAGGATTGAACTCAGGGACACTCAACCACTGAGCCACATCCCCAGCCCTATTTTGTATTTTATTTAGAGACAGGGTCTCACTGAGTTGCTTAGCACCTTGCCATTGCTGAGGCTGGCTTTGAACTTGTGATCCTCCTGCCTCAGCCTCCCAAGTCCCTGAGATTATAGGTGTGAGCCATGGCACCCGGCTATTCTTTCTTTAATTTTTTTAAATTGTCAATGGATCTTTTTATTTTATTTATTTATCTATTTATATGTGGTGCTGAGGATAGAAGCCAGGGTCCCACACATGCAAGGCAAGTGCTCTACCACTTAGCCACAACCCCAGCCCTATACTTAAATTTTTAAAAAATATATTTAACAGGATAGCACCTGTAGATTAGGGTTTCTTAAAATCAGCACCATTGACATTTTGTATCAGATGATACTTTGCAGCGAGTGTAGGATATTGGCATCCCTGGCCCTGACCCATTAGATGCCAGTAGCACCCCACCCCATGCAACTATTTGTGAAACCAAAAGTATCTCTAGATGTTCCCAAATATCTCTCGGGGTGGGGTGACACAAAACCGCCCTCAGTTGAGACTCAGTGCTATAAAATCTCTCCCTTAGAGAAACATTGGAGTGGTCTCATGTTGGACTAAGGGCAGTTTCTTTAGTAAATGAAGGGATACTTCTCCAACATATTTGCTAATTTCAGATTAGTAAATTCTATGAAGAAAAAAATTTAAAAATACTGATAAAGTAAGGAACAAAATCTGGGGTCTGAAAAAGTAAAATCAGGTTGTAAAAAAAAAGAAAAAAGAAAAGAAATAGAGAGTAGAATAGAGAAATTGAGAAGGGGGAGCAAGATAGGATCATTATCAGGTTCAGAGATCCAGTTGGTTGAGGGGAATAATCTCTAATGCTCCAAAGGACAATAAGATTGTCAACTGTGGTTGACAACATTTAGTTAGATATTTCAATATCTAACTAAAAAACCCTCTAGTAGAGAGGATTTTGCATGTTCCCAATACATAGAAATTATACATTGAAGTGATGTTTATAACAGTAAACCTGATCTGATCATTACACATTGTATACATGCATTGCAGTGTCATAATAAACCCTATATATATGTATAATTGTGTCGATTAAAAATCAAAATATTTAAAACAACAATTAAAAATAGTACCTAGGAGCTGTGGGTATAGCTCCGTGGAAGAGCATCTACCTAGCATGTGTAAGGCCCTGATTTTGATCCCCAGCACTGAAGAAAAAAAAATGGAAAAAAAAAGTCTTTCATGTGAATATTCTTACAAAATGACTAATAATTTGAAGCAGTATAAATGTTCATCATGGACAAATAAAATGTGGTATATCCTTACAATGGAACTATTTGCAATTAAAAGGAAATAACTGTTGACAACATGCTATGACACAAATGAATCTTAAAACATCAAGATAAAGAAGCTAGGTATGAAGGACCACATGTTGTATGTCTTCATTGAAATGAAATTTCTAGAAAAGGCAAATCTATGGAGACTGAAAGCAGATTGCTGGCGCCTGGGTGGGGTAGACTGTGAGGAGAATTAACAGGGATGAGCATAAGGACTTTCTGAGGTGATGGAAATCCTTCTTAACTTTATGTGAAGGCAACACAACTTGGTAAAAGAGAAAGATTCAGGAACCGAAAGTGGAATCCATTTTTGCTTCCACCCGTGGGTATGACCCCAGCATTAGTGGTACTTGATACTTGAACTTCTCAGTGTGTGTTTCCTGTACATCTGTTTGCTTGCAGGTGGAGTTGGAGGTATATGACTTTTTCTTTGGAAGGAGTGCACCTGTCACAGTCCATGTCTCCATCAGAACAGCAGACACCAACGCCCCCCGGGTGTCCTGGAATACAGGTGAAGCCCAGAATGAGGCAACAGCCAGCAGAGCCCCGGAGACAGCACCAGAAAGTCATGGGTCAGGAAAGAAGGGTAGTTTTACTCCCAGTTCACGCACAAAATACAGATGTCAGATAGTTAAGGATGTCAGATAGTTGTTTTGTTTTATCTAGTGGCCAGATGAGAAATTAAAATCCAGTATCCTCATGTCTGAGGCCACATTCTTGCCTCTTGGGGGAGATGAGCCAAAAGGACACCTTTCAACTGAAAGAAAGAAAGAAAGAAACAAACAAAAGTCTCTTTGTGATACTGAACCACAGCTGGACTGAGAGCAAAGGCTCAGATTGTTCAGAGGAATGGAAGGAAGGTGCAGACTGGGATGCAGTTTCCTATTTTTATGTTGGGTTGCATAGAAACTCAAATACATAAATAAGAGCATCAGCTGCTTTAAAAAAAAGACTTTGCTTCTCCATACTAAATGGACTCATAATGTGATGTATATACTTAGATCAGATATAAATGTGAGTGTAAATGAAGGTTTTTCCTTTATCACTAATCCCATTAATAGCATTCAAAACATGTGTATAAGGATGCATTAGGGGGAAGATGTCTATGACTTCAATACTCAGGTGGCAGCTTAACCACATTGCCGTGTGTGTGTGTGTGTGTATGTGTGTGTGTCTCTGTGTGTATACACCTTTATATGTTTCGAAATTTTCTGTTATTATTTCCCTGAAAAGTTTATCCATTCTATTAGTCTGCATCTCACAGCCCTCCTCAGTTCCAATGATTCTTAAATTTGGTCTCTTCATGTTGTCCCACAGTTCTTGTATATTCTGATTGTGGTTACTTATTTTATTTTCTTTCTTGCCGTGTGAATGTTCAAGGTTGTCTACTTTGTCATCCAGTTCTGAGATTCTGTCTTCACCATGGTCTACTCTACTACAAAGACTTTCAACTGAACATTTTATTGATTTATTGTGTCTTTCATTTCCAAGACTTCGGTTTGGTTCTTTTTCAATATTTCTATCTCCTTATTGAGTGTCTCATTCATAGTCTGTACTGATTTCCTTAATTCATTTAGTTGTTTTTCTGTGTTCTCTTGGAATTCATTAATCATTTTTATAGTGGTTAATTTTAATTAATTTATAGTGGTTATTTTGAGTTCCTTATCCAATTTTTCCTCTACTTCAATATTTTGGGGCTCATATGCTGATGAATTATGAACTTTTGTGTTAGCTTGTTTTTTCATATTTCTTGTATTCCTGTGTTGGGCTTTATGCATCTGTTGGAGGGATTTCTCTTCTACTCTTATGTGTGGGCCTTCTTAGGACACAGTCTTCTCTTGTCAAAGTGTCCTAGAGTGATCTAGATGGAGACCCCTCATAGGTGTGGTCAAGATGGCTCCCACCCCAACTCTCTGTGGCCAGATGGGAAACATGGGAGACTTTTCAACCACTAGTACACAGTACATCCTCTAAATAAGCCAAGGACAGGGTGCTTTCGTGATCTCAAGTGTTTCTATACTAAATCTGTCCATTATATTCCTTTCTGTGTCCTTTGTCCCTCTGTGCTGAACCAGTACCACTGCTGCTGCTGCAGCTGCTGCTGCAACTGGTGTGGTTCCAATGTACTCTTTCTTCTTTGTTCAATGTACCCAAATTTCTGAGTCTCTAAGACACTCTGACTGTCCAATATTGAGTTTTAGTGAAATCCCTCTTTCACCCAACTGACAAAGAGGTGGTACTCCTGTTGCTTGAATCCCACAGAGTGACTAGGGAGGCAGTCTTCCTTTAGTCCACCATCTTGAATCCTCCACATGTATTTATATGTGTGAATTTTAATAGAGATGGAGAACATTGGCTGAGAGGCCATGATTTATAAATCTGGCTCCATGTCCCACTGTACCTCTGTTGAAGGATAATGAGAGAAAGAAAGGAATTGTTTACCTGAAGTTTAGGAATAATCACATATTACCTAGATCATTGCTTGAGTGTGGAGAAGGGATAGTCTATGTGTATGTGGTTGTTGGGGGAGCTCTAGGTCTGGTTTTGCCTATTTTGGGCATTTAGAATTCTTGTTAAAATGAATTTTTACTTATTATAAACTTAGTGCTTGCCATCTTTGAAAATTTGGAGAACACATTAAATAGAATTAAAATTATTTATTATCCCACAGTGAAGGTATACCTAAGTACTATTTTGCTATATAGTTTTCTAGACTTCTTGGTTGCTTGTCTGCTGTGTCCTATGATGTCTGTCATGTGCTGCACTGTGTACTTGTGGCTTCAAAATCCTTACTAAATTCAATTGCTAGTGCCACCAAAGGAAAAAGAAAGAAAAAAGAAAACACTGTACACCAGTCATGGAAATTCTTTTAGACATGTGATGTCCATCTTCCCTTCTTCCTTTTCTCCCCTCTCCCTTTTGCCTTCCCTCTCCCCACTTGTTTCCTTTCTCTCTTTCTTCTCTTTCCCCCTTCCCTTTCTGTTTCTTCTTTCTTTTTCCTTTCTTCCTCCCCTCCTTTTTTCCTACCTTCCTTCCTTTCTTCCTCTCTTTCCCTTCCTTCTCTTTTCTCTTTTTCTTTCATTTATATATTGTATGTTTTAGTTTATTTTCTCTAGAAAAGAGACCCTGAGGCAGATCATATGTACTAACCTTACACTGAAATTCAGACTAAGGGGAAAGCAAATAAAACGTGGTGTATTAGTCAGCTTTCAGTCACTATAACAAATACCTGAGATAATCAACTTATAAAAATAAAAGGTTTATTTTGACTCTGCTTTGGAGGTTCCAGTCCACAATTGAGTGGCCCCATTGCTTTGGACCTGAGGTGAGGTAGCATATCATGGTGGGAACATATGGTGGAGCAAAACTGTTTACCTCATAGTCAGGGAGCAAAAAAAGAAAGGAAGAAGAGACCAGGGTCCCACACTATTCTTCAAGGGCATTCTCCCAGTGACCTAAAGCCTCTCATTAGGTCCCACCTCTTAAAGGTTTCATCACTTTCCAATAGCACCACCCTGAGGACTAAGCCTTTAACAGAGGGGCCTTTGGAGCACATTCAAGATCTGCAGTACAGCAGATGATATGATTGAGCTGGTCACTAGATAAAGTAGATTGCTCTGTAGTGCTACTGTCTCCTGGGAGCAGATGGAACCACACATCTGGGAAGAGTTGAAGGGAGGGAAGATAAAGTTTGGACAAGCTGTCAGTACCCAACTGTATTGGGCTGTTTGATGATGCCACAGCTCCCTGTCTATAACCTGAATGTTTAGTTCAGAGTATATATTCTTCTTGCTCTGATCAGCAAACAATTCTCTCTCCACAGATTTCCTCTGGCATATTGGGTTCAAGAAGAAAGTTTTATTTTAATCCTTCAGTTACAAAATCCCCTTCCTTAATATAGTCTAAACTTTGCAAAGTTTCTGGCACTTCACATCTAACACTGTTGAGCACCCTCAGGCACAATAGCTCTGTACATGCGTACTGAACCACTTTACTGCAGGCTGTGCATGTTCTCATAAATTATGTCTCTTGCCTACTTAAAATATCTGAATACAACCTTTGAGAAATTCCCTATGGAAATTTTTGAACTTGAGACCACTGTGAACATATCTCTTCTTTCTTTCAGTAGTTTTTGGCATCATCATGCTTCTTAAGGTTTTATCGTGAGGATGGGGATGTCACTTAGTGGTAGGGTGCTTGCATAGCATGTATTAGATTGGGTTTGATCCCCAGCATTGAAAAAAGAAAAAAAATAGGACATATCTTAAGGAACCAGTTCTTATATTGAAATATACTAAAATATATTACTAGAAGCAAAATCTATGGAATATAGCTGGAATGGTTTCTTTAAAAGCATCTGAAGTATAATTTTTCAGTTTCATAAGTAGATTTTCTTAGTTTTTCCTTAAGCAGGGATGTTGGATGCCACAGGACTTCCCAAGACATTTTTCTGCTTACTCTTGCAGGTCTGAATCTCCTGGAGGGACAGTCTCGGGCTATCACTTGGGAACAGTTTCAGATTGTTGACAATGATGACATTGGTGCCGTCCAGTTGGTCACTGTTGATGGCCTGCATCACGGACAGCTTACAGTGAGAGGTGAGTGGTCTACCTGCATACCTAGAAAAGAACCCAAGAAGGATTTTCTTCCTCCCCTTCCTCTTCCTCCTTTTCTTCCTCTTCCTCTTCAGTTTCACAGTATTGAGGATTGAACTCAGGGATATTCTACCACTGAGCTATGTCCCCAGTCTTTTTTATTTTAGTTGAGACAGAGTTTTGCTAAGTTGCCAAAGCTGGCCTTGAACTTGCCATTCTCCTGTGTTAGTCTTTTGAGTAACTGGCATATGCCACTATACCTGGCTCAAGAAGTATTTTCTTCAAAAACAAATTGTATTGGAGAGGACTCATGTAGCATCTCTTGGGTTCCATTTCTAAGTGAAATTGTCATGTCCAAAAAATCTGGAGATCTTGAGCTCAGGTGTAGGATGCTAAAATCAAGGTATAAGCATTAATGAAGGGTATTGTGTGCTTGGCTTCTTATTTAAATCTCAGTTTTGACTTCTGTATGTCATATAGAACTTTGTCAAGATATCTTCTTCACTAATGTTTTTATCCAGTTGGATGACAAAATATTTTCCTGCTTCAAAGAAATACACTGCAAAACAAAAATCTTGTTTATTTAAATACTTCAATAATAATGATGTCATTATGTTATTATCACTAGTTACCACAGTTTAAAATAAATGAATTTATAATTATAAGGATGATAGTTAACAAGATAGTAGCCCTAATTAAGATGATATTCATACTTTATGACAAAAAAATCTGTTCTTTATAATGAGCTCAGAGGATTTGATTTCATTAGCCTCTTAGTTTGCCTAACTGTAAAGAAATGAGGTAGGTCTCATTTATCATCATTTGTCATTAGGGAATTTTGAAATTTACAAAATGATAAATTATGATAAATTCTCCTGTCAAATCTCAGGATAGTGGGAGACCAGTTTAAACGTGGGCATGTCAGTTAGAGGGGGTATTCAGTTGCATGTAAAAGTAACCCAATTATATTGGCTTAATAATTAGATTTATTTTCTTCATGTCTTCCAGATTGGAAGAGATAGAAGGCCAATGAAAGAAATCATGGCATTTCAGTTTGTTTCTTTAGCAAGTTTCCAGGAGCCCAATATGACAACTCTCACTTCTGCCTTCTCACCTAGTTATGCCACATATAACCCACTGTCACAATGGAACCTGGAACTTATTCAAATGGTTATATTGCCATGTCAAACAAAACTGGGATTCTAGGAGTGAGGAAGAAGCGGAAAGTGGTTACTAGGCAAGGAAATAGTAATGTCCATTGTTACATTAAGTGTTTAATCATTTATTCTTCTGAGGTCTTTAATGCAGCCGTGTGGTGTGAAGAGAGTAATAGGGTGCACCTGCCACTGAGAATTGTTATAGTCAGTGCAGAAAACAAAACACTGTTTATTAACTCCAAAGAAATTAAATTGGGAGTAGCAGTGTTTTAGTCAGCTTTTTCACTGCTGTGACTAAAAGACCCAACCAGAACAACTGTAGAGGAGGAAAATTTATTTGAGGGCTCACAGTTTCAAAGATCTCAGTCCACAGATAGCCCACTCCATTCCTCAGGGCTCCAGGTGAGGTTGAACAACATGGCAGAAGAGTGTGGTCGAGGGAAGCAACTCACATGATGATCAAAAAGCAGAAAGAGCAATCTCCATTTGGCAGATACAAATATATACCCCAAAGCCACGCCCCCAATCCCCACCTCCTCCAGCCACACCTTAAAACACTTTAGTTACCACTCAGTTAATTCCTATCAGGGGATTAATTCACTGATTGGGTTACGACTCTCACAACCCAATCATTTCTCCTCTGAAACTTCACGTGTTGTTTCACACGTGAGTTTTTGGGGAACACCTCACATCCAAACCGTAACAGCAGTCCACATTGCAATGATGTTCTTGGATCAGAGAAGGTAGAAAGTAGTCATTTATTTTGGCATTGATCGTTTACTTGTGGGAGATATTATGCAAAGCGTTCTATATGCTTGTGTCACTGAATATAATTTCAACTTTATGAAATGAGATATTATTAGGATTCCTATTTTACAAATGGGGAATCTATGTTTTAGAGAAGTTGACTCATCTGCAGTCAAACCCTAGAAAGTGGCAGAACTAGGATTTGAACCATTGTATTTGATATTAAAGCTGTTGCTCTTGACCCTTAAGCCAGTGACTCTCAAACTTGAGCATGCATTAGATTCCCAAGAAGGACTTGATGAGACACAGATCATTATGTCCTATCTCCTGAATTAATGATTCAGTAGGTCCAGGGCAGAGCCTGAGAATGTGCATTTCTAATAGTTTCCCAGATAGTGCTGATGCTGTTGGTTTGAGATCCCTCCTGCTGGAACTGCTGCCAGGCAGAATGACAACAATAAGTCGGAGAATAACCAGTGTTTATTATAGGCTCTCTATTGTTTAGGTTCTCTCATCCTTGCTACAAAACATAGGTAGAAATTTGTATTACTAACATCAGTGATCTGCAGAGAAAAACAATAGGGTGTTTCTCAGCACATACAAGAGACGATTTATTAAGGGAATTGGCTTATGCAATTATGGAGACTGAGAAGTATCATGATGATGCTGTTGGAGAACCAGAAAGGCCCAAGGAATAATTCAGTTCTAACTCAAGTTCCAAGAACAAGGACAGCTGATGGTGTAACTCCCAGTCCAAGGCCAAAGGCCTGAGAAGCAAGGAGGATTTTGGCAGGGGGAGATGGGAGGTTGGCTGGCAGGAGTTACAGAGTCTGAAGGCCCAAGGCCCAAGAACCAGGAGCTCTGATGTTGGAGTGTGGAAAAACGTGGATGTTCCTACACATGAAAGAGAGAGAAAGAGAGAGAGAGAGAGAGAGAGAGAGAGAGAGAGAGAGAGAGAGAGAGATCACCCTTCCTCTGCCATTTTGACTTTTTCTGTCCTCAACAGATTGAATGATAACCACGCACATTGATGAGGACAGATCATTGCTCAGTCTACTGATTTAAATACTAATCTCTTCCAGAAATACTGTCCTCACAGAAATATGCAGAAATAATTTTTTTGACAGATATCTGGGCATCCCTTAGGCCAGTTAAGTTGGCATTTAAAGTTTATTGTCACAGTATAGTTATCCCTGTTTTACAGAAGAGTCAAATAAATAGCTTGCCCAATGATATGGTATCCCAGAGCCCCACTGAACAATCCACAGACAGTCCCTGACTTAGGATGCTTTTTTGAGTGGTTTGTTGGAGCTGTTAAAGGCATGAGAGAGAGAGAGAGAGAGAGAGAGAGAGAGAGAGAGAGAGAGAGAGAGAGAGACTCTGAAATAAAGATACTGGCGATTGAACTCCAAGTGCTCTATCACTGAACTACATCCCCAGACCGTTTCTTAAATTTTATGTTGAGCTAGGTGTGGTAGCTCATTTCTGTGATCCCAGCAACTCAGGAGACTGAGGCAGAAGGATTGCAACTTTGAGGCCAATCTCAGCAATTCAGCAAGAACCTGTCTCACAATAAAAACCAAATAAATAAAAAGGGCTGGGAATGTAGTTCAGTGGTAAAGTGCTGCTGAGTTCAATCCCCGGTGCCATTTTTAAAAATTTTGAGACACGGTCTTGCTAAGTTGCTGATACTGGCCTTGAACTTGTGATCCTCCTGCCTCAGCCTTTTGAGTTGCTGAGATTAACAGATGTGTACCATCATGGCTGGTCTAAAGGAGTTTTTGATTTATGATATTTTTGGCTTGTATTGGCTTTATTGGCACATAACCCCATTGTAAGCCAAGGAGCATCCGTGCCATCTCTCCCAGTGAGGGAGTTCAGGCAGCACCTCTTTCCTTCACACCCTCTCCTGCAGTGAAGCCTTCCTGACAGCCACTGCCTCTGGGCTCCCTTGCCCGGTCGGCTTCATCTCTGCTGTCTCCTCCAGGGGGGAAAGGATTTCTCTTCACTGTGGCTGACCTTCAGACTGGAGTTGTTCGCTATCATCATGACGACAGCGACACCACTAAAGACTTTGTGGTCTTCAGGATCTTCGATGGCCATCACAGCATCCGTCACAAGTTTCCTATCAACATCTTGCCCAAGGATGACAGTCCCCCGTTCCTCATAACCAATGTTGTGATTGAACTGGAGGAAGGACAGACCATCCTGGTCCAGGGTTCCATGCTGAGAGCCTCAGACATGGATTCCAGTGACGACTACATCTTCTTTAATATCACAAAACCCCCTCAGGCTGGAGAGATCATGAAGAAGCCAGGGCCAGGGCTGATAGGTAAGTTCTAGGCAGTTAAGATTGAGTGGAACCGATTCTTCAATAGAGAACTTTCTGTGCTCCTGTGAGTTTGTTGAAATTGTGTCCCAGAATACCTTGTGCCAAGGTAGACATCATATGTATAAAGTAAAATACTATTATAATTCCCATTTTTAGATGGGAAGCCTGAGACTCAGAGAAATTAATATAGCCAAGGTTGTGCATCTAGAAAATTCTAGAGCTAAGCCTCAAGGTAACCACTGCACTATGAAAAGTTAAGTTAGCAAGCAAAGTGCAGAACAAATAAGTCCAAAGGGAAACATTATGCCTGTTCTAGATGATTGACACATACTGATAATCATTTTATAAGTACTTCTTGAAGTAGGTAGGCCAGAGGTTTGACAAAATGGGAATTGAGTAAGTAATGTTACTTGGTTCTTTTGAAGTAAGACTATGTTTCTTGAAATATTTTTATAGTGGTAGCTTTTCTACATATTAAGAGAGGGGTAGACATTTTAGTTTGACTGCATTGTTATTTATAAGCTTTGATTAAAAAAAAAACATTTAAGCCAATTCTTTGAGTGCATATAACCTACTAGGCAGAGAAGATGTGGGGAGGTAATTCCCATACCATTGTGCCCAGACACCTAAAAGTGTGTGGTATTTTGTGGACCCGTTAGGCTATCCTGTCTCTGGCTTTCTTCAGAGGGATCTGTTTAATGGGATCATTTACTATCGTCACTTTGGTGGAGAAATCTTTGAAGATTCTTTCGAATGTGTCCTGTGGGACAGCCACGAACCTCCAAATCTCTCAGTGCCACAGGTAAGAAACTATTTCTGAACACTTATCCAATGTCTTCTACATAGTTATCAGCTCTGTGAGTTGTCTTCAGAAAGTATGCAAAAACAGGTTGTGAGGCTCAAAGTTTGAGAAGTAATGGATTAAGCAAAATAAGTCAGGTTTCTTTGCAATGTGACTACTTAAGCACTTGCTTTTTTGGGGTGGGGAGTACGGGAGATTGAACTCAGGGGCACTCAACCACTGAGCCACATACCCAGCCCTATTTTGTATTTTTTTAAAGATAGGGTCTCACTGAGTTGCTTAGCTCCCCACTGTTGCTGAGACTGGCTTTGAACTTGCGATCCTCCTGCCTCAGCCTCCTGAGCCACTGGGATCATAGGCATGCACTACCATGCCTGCCTGAGTACTTTCTTTTTAAAGAGTTTTGTGATTATCTATGAATTCAACATTACTTAATCTTGGGACCCTTTTATATAAAACATCTTGAAAACTTTGCTTGCTTCCTGACATTCAAGAAAATACTTATCTCATACATAGCAGTTAAAATATAAACTCAAGTTTCCTCCTGATCTTGATACTAACTGGGCAACCTGTGCTCTTCTTTCCTTGTATGTAAAACAGGTAATAATAGAACCTTACTTACAGAATTATTGTGAGGGTGTGACATAATAATTACAAAGTGCTGAACTTTCTGGTGCATGGTAAACACTCAAAATAAATTTTATTATTATATATTATTTTGAAAAACTAAGAGTTTTAGAAGATAGATATATATCATATATGATACATAGAGGTTATAATGTATGTATAGAATGCAGAAATAGGGCTTAAGCCAACATTGTCATATATAAATTACATAAAATGGAGCCAATGTAGTGTCTGGACAATTGTGAAAGGGTAGATTTTTTTGCAAGGAGAGTGTAATAAGTAATAGGGGTTATAAAAAGGACAGCCAGGGAGGGGCAAGATGGTGGATTAGTGTGAGGCAGCATTTCTCTTAGAAATGAAACAGCAGAATTCAAACAGCAGGAATACCACATCTCCTTGAAACTTAAAGTAAAGAAATCCTGAGACTAGAGGGGCAGTCTACCCTAGCTGAACCACAGACTGCCTGACTCTTTAATTGGATAAAAAAAAACAAACAAAAAACCCTCTCCACTGGAGTTTCTTAACCATCTGTGGAGAGCCCATATGGGAGCCCTCTTGGGAGCCTATGGAGACTGGAAACCTAGGTCTGTGAGTTTGCAGCTAGGCCTGTGTGGGCTTATCTGAGCCTAGCAACTGTGGAAAGTCAGAAACCAGGAGCATTTTGCCCAGGGGAACACAGGTTAGAGAGGCTGGAGAGCTGGGCTCTTCCCAGCTCTGTGAGTCCTGTGGCTCATGGGGACTGATAGAGCTGGTTTTAGTGGGTTAGAAGATTAGAAAAGAGAGTGTGAGGGCATTTTGCTCTCAGCTCACACAGCCAGCTGGTCCAGCACCCACTGGGTTCCTGGGGCCCCCTGGGGCTGGCATTCGCTGGGTCCTGGCCCCAACCTGGTCCCTGACTCCCTCCCAAGTCTGGCATCCATTGGTTCCTGGGAACTGCCAGGTCTGGCATCAGTCTGGCATCAACAGGCTCTCAGGCTCCCCAGTCCACAGTGTCCCGGCCTCAATCCCTTCCTGGCCCCCAACCCATCCCATTGCTCTGAGACTAGGCCCACAGCATAGCCATGGGCCCATAGCTCTGCATGCCAGGCCACTGCTTCACCACCAGACCCACCTGGTCTAGCACACAGCTTCATGGCTGGCCCGTAGATACTGGGCCTGACCCACCTGGTGCAGAAGAGGTAGGCCCCTGATATGGCTGGGCCCCAACTTGCCCCACATGCTGCTTAGCTGTCAGACTCGCCCAGTCCAGCACACAGCCTCACAGGATCCAGTGCCAGGCCCTGATCCACCTGCCACCTGGATGGGCCAGCTGCTTTCCTATCCACCCACAGTCCAGGTTCCCCAGCACACCATTTCACCTCCACTCTGCAGCCTGGCCTGCCTACACTACCAAGAAGAGAAATTAGAAAGTCTTAAACCCCAACCTTCAACATGTTGAGCAACACAATAAAAGGAAGGATGCACAACCCATGGCCCATACTTGAAGCTTAGATCATACCTCAAGAAGAAATGAAAAGAAAACCAGGTGGGCACAGTCAGTGAACACATGTGCTTGCTTACTGACTTTGTTCACCATAGTAGATACAACTCCTTAAATCCTTAACGTTTCACCAAGATCGATTGATTAATCAATCAATCTATCTATTTCTATCTTTTTTTCTTTTTTTGGTTCTTGTGACTTGTTTGTTGTGGCAGTAGTTCTGTGTTGCCTTTTGATTTGGAGTTTCCATATTGAACTTTTGTTTTATTTGAAGGTATACTGACTGATTCAAGAATTCTTACACATATTTATACTTGTTTCTCCTCATTTCTCGCCTTGTTTTTCTTTTTTTCTTCTTTCTTTCATTTTTCCCCCAAAGGTGTTATTTTTTCATGTTCTATATTTTAAGGGTTATGACTTAGGATTAACTTGTTTGGATTTTGTTTCGTATCATTTTTATCACTACTCTCTCCTCCTTGTCTCCCTCTCTCATTTCTCTATTCCTCATATCCAAATTCCATTCTCGTCTTTCCTCCTTTATATTCTTCTATTTTTCATCCCCTTTCAGACTAACAACATATCCTAAGTTATCACTGTATCTGTCCTACTTACCCTTTGAAATTGCAAACACTTTTTTACCCTCCTTTCTTTTCTTCTTTCCTTATACTCAACTCTATCCTTAACACTTCTTAACACTACTTGAGGTACATAATGTCTACCCCTACCACCAATGACACAGCAATAATCAATACAACAGAAGGCAAAGACAATACCTATTGTTTGATTTAAGCCAGACATAATACGTGATTATGAACTGTTTTTACTGATGGAAATTGCTGATCCCACTGTTCCTACATTTTATACCAATTAACACTAGATATCAAAATAGGAACTAGACATCAAAATAGGACCTATTCTACTCCTATATATTGTTTGCATACATTGTTACTATCACCACCCTCACCAATCTGTGAGATACTAGTGACAGAGGGACACTATAAACCCATAAGGTAGAAACTCTGCAGCATCAGATCCATCCAGATAGATGGGTAGATATACAAATGATATAAAAATCAAGGGAACAAACCATCCCAAACAACACAAACTACCTCAACAGTAGACTCCATTGATACCACAGTGTAGGAAATGTCAGAAATATAGTTCAGAAAGTTCATGGTTAAACTGATCTATGAGATAAAAGATGATGTAAGAAATGAAATCAGAGAGAAAGTACAATAAGTGAAAGATCACTTCAACGAGGAAATAGAGATCCTGAAGAAGAATCAGTCAGAAATCCTTGAAATGAAGATAACAATAACCAAATTAAGAATTCAATTGAAAGCATCACCAATAGACAAGACAGTTTCAGGCAAAGAAGAAAAAATAAATGATCAAGAAAATAAAGTTGAACATGGGGAAAAAATGTTAATAGACCATGAAGAGAAATTTCAAGCAATATGGGATAACATGAAAAGACCTGTTAAGATTTATCAGGATAGATGAGTGCTTGGAGATACAAACCAAAGGAATACATAATCTTTTCAGTGAAATAATGTTTGAAAATTTCCTAAACCTTAAGAATAAAATGGAAAACCAAATTCAGGAGTCTTACAGGACCCCAAATATATAAAATTATAACAGACCCACACCAACACACATTGTGAAAATGCCTACCATAGGGTTTCTATCCTCATATCAGATAAAGTGGACTTCAAACCAAAGTTAATCAGAATAAGGATAGAATTTTAAAGCCTTCCAAAGAAAAGTGACAGGCAAAATTTACAGGGAAACCAATTTGAGTCTCAGCTGGTTTCTTAACCCAGACCCTCAAAGCTAGAAAGTCTTAGAATAATATATCCTAATCTCTGAAAGAAAATGGATGCCAACAAGAATACCAACTCAGTAAAATAAGCTTCAGAATTGGTTACAAAATAAAAACCTGTCATGATGAACAAAAGTTAAAAGAATTCACAACCAGAAAGCCTGCACAACAAAATATACTCAATAAAGTATTTCATGAAGAAGAAATGAAAAATAAAAGTGAAAACCAGCAAAGGGAGGAGCTACATTAGAAGCATAATCAATCAAAGGAGAAACTAATTCAAATTAAAAATAAATAAATCAAAATTACGGGGAATAAAATCATATATCAATAATAACATTGCATGTAAATGGCATAAATTCATCAACAAAAGACACAGATTGGCAGATTGGATTAAAAAACAAGACCCAACAATATGTTATCACCAAGACACCTCATAATCAAAGACATTCACAGACTGTGTAAAAGGATGGGGAAAAACATATCATCCACATGGATCTTGAAACTGAACAAGGGTTTCAATCCTCATATCAGATAAAGTGGACTTCAAACCAAAGCTAATCAGAAGGGACCAAAAAGATCATTTCTTACTGATTAAGGAAACCATACATCAGCAAGACATAATAATTGTAAATATCTATGCCCCAAACAGTGGAGCACCTACATACATAAACAAACCCTTTTCAATTTCAAGAATAAAATAGACCACAACACAATAATACTTGGTTACTTTAACTTGCATCTCTCATCACTAGATAGATCCTCCAAACAAAAACTAAATAAAGAAGCTATAGAACTAAAAAATTCCATTAATAATTTAGACTTAACTGACAAATATAGAATATTTCATCCATTAAGGACTGAATGCACTTTCTTCTCAGAAGCACATGGATCCTCTATAAAACAGACCATATTTTAAGGCCACAAAGCAACTCTTAGAAAATACAAAAAACAAAAACAAAAACAAACCCAAAAACTAGAGATAATACCTTACATTCTATCAGATCATAATAGAATGAAATTAGAAATCAACATTAAAATAAAAAATAGAAGCTACTCTAACAACTGAAG